AAAAAAAAAAAAAAAATTAAAAAGTATGAAAGAAAGACTAAGAGGCAAAGAACCAGAAATGAAAACGACATATAAATACCCAGGCAGAAGCCTATTTACATGTACACACATTTGTCCATGCATATGTAAAACATGCTCCCAGAGAAAGGACGGAGAAAATAGAGCTGTACCATCAGAAGAGCGTTTTTGGTTGACAAGTTTTCAGAATTAAAGAGAAATCTTAATTTTCAAATTTAATCTTAAATACACACACACACAAACACGCGCGTGCACACACACACATGACAAAACAAAACTCACAATGAGCTTCCAAACAGATGAGTACAATTAAACCATTCTCATAAAACTTATGACAGACATGAAGAACAACCAGAAAACAAAGCAAAAGGCAAGTATAACTAGAAAAAAGAAATGTGCTGTGCTTAAGAAAGAGTTGAATATTAAACTAATGAATAAGTCCAGGCACCATCAGGAAATGCTGAAGGACAGAGGTTTGTGTTATCTTCAAAGCACTGAGAAGAAGTAAACATTTTAAAATAATGTAATGCAGTTAATACATTTTGTGGCTAAAGTACAGTTGAAGAGCCAGGACAAAATGAAGGCAGTTTCAGAGTTTTCCCATTCATAGGCACACCAGAAAGCAAAACCAAGGGATACATACTAAGTAACCAACATGAAGAGTAAACTTAGGAGAAAAGACACTGAATCAGCAAGGTAGATGAAATGCAAAATGCAATGATGAATAAAGAAACAAGCGAGTATATGGATAAATATAAATAAGCTCTGACTTACGTATAAGTAGCAATTTAATGAAAATTTATAATGATCCCTGTGGTAATACTAAAAATAAAAAACAAACAAACAAAAAACCCCAGGTGGGACTAGAATTAATGACCGATGAAAAGAGAAGATGGGAAAGGACAGGGTACAGTGAAACATCTTGGGGTCCTGATTTTGTTCCCTAGAGAGATTTTTCAACTTTGGAGCTTGGTAGATCATAGGTCAATGTTGGATGTAAGAGGAACAGTGAGGTAGACTGTGTTCAGCGCTTAGTTGCTCAACATAGCTATTCAGATCAATCTGTGCATTCAATCCCAATCCCAATTTCAGAAGGTTTTTCTTTTAAATATACACAAACTGATTTTAAACCTTTAGGGGAAGACAAGTAAGTTAGAATAGATAAAAAGAATTATGAGAAATAATAAAGTTGGAAGAGTCATACTACCTTTAAGACTTATGATAAGGCATCAGCAGGTAAGACCTCATGATTCCGGCGGAGCAACAACAGGTCAGTGGACCAGAAAAGCAAGTCCAGAAATTGGCCCACAAATGCACTGATGGCCTATTTTTTTTTCAACACCCAGGGCCTCACGCTTGCTAGCCAGTCATTCTACCACTAAACTATGTCCTTCACTCGAGTTGATTTTTTAAAAATTTTTTTGCAGAACCAGGGATTGAACTCAGGCCCTTGTGCTTGCCAGGAAAGCGCTTATTCTACTGAGCTATCTCCCTGACCCTCATCAAGTTGATTATTTTTGATAAAAGTACAAACTAATTTCATGGAGAAAAGATAGTCTTTGAAATGAATGATGCTGGAACAACTTGACATCTATATAAAAAGAAAAAAAAACCTCGTAAAAATTCAAAATGGATGATGGATCTAAATGTAAATGTAAAACGTAACACCTTAGAAATATATACAAAGGGGGCCGGGGAGATGGCTCAGTGGAATAAGCGCTTCCCTGGCAAGCACAAGGGCCTGAGTTCAATCCCTGGTTCTGCGAAAAAAAAAAAAAAAAAAAAAGAAAGAAAGAAAGAAAAGAAATATATATGAAGGGAAATCTCCCCGTTCTAGGTTAGGCAAAGAGGTCTTAAATGTGGTACTTACTAAAGGTAAAAAAAAGACAAAATTAACTTGTTAACATTTAGCACTTCTGTTCTGAAAATGACATTGTCAAAAGAATAAACTACAGACTGTGAGAAAATATTTGCAGATTTCATATCCAATAAAGAATTTGTAAGGGCCGGGGAGATGGCTCAGTGGAATAAGCGCTTCCCTGGCAAGCGCAAGGGGTTGGGTTCAAGGCCCGGTTCCAAAAAAAAAAAAAAAAAAAAAAGAATTTGTAAGCATAATGTGTAACCAACTCAAATTAAACAATAAAAAAATGCATAACTCAGTTTAAAAATGGGCAGAAGATCTGAACAAACAGTTTACCCCAAAGGACATGTGGATGACAAATGAGCACATGAAGAAATCATTCCCATTGTAATCTTCTACTCATACAAAAGCTGGAACACCAATACTTATACCAGCTCTATTAGCAGTGGCTACGAAGCAGATGAAATCCCAGTAACTCTCAATAGGTGAGTGCATAGGTGATTGGTGGCATATCCATGCAGTAGAATCCATCCTATTTGGACATAAAAAAAGGGTGGAGTACTGACTGATATCCACCAGTTGCATGGATTTCAGAGGTTTTATGTGAGTTTCGAAAGGCTATATGCTATGTGCTCCCATTTACACGATGTTCTCAAAATCACAAAACTAGTGATAAAAGTCACACAGTGGTTCAGAGCTGGGGGAGCGTGTGACTAGGAACAGTAAGACTGGATTCTGGAGGTGATGGAATCATTCTCAATGCCAGTTGTGATGGTAATTACCTGAATCTATAAACATGTTAAAATGTATAGAACTATACATTATCGCTAACCATATTTAACTGTATGATGATGCACTTTTAGAAGCATTAAAATGTACTGTAACTAACCACATGTAACTTCCAAACTAGTAGGAAGAAAAAGAAAAAGCAAGACCAAGAAACTATGACACTAGAAGGGAGAACAGCAAGAATGCAAATGAGCAATGACTTAAAGATGCCACTACCAGCCAATGGCTGCCTCTGGGCAGGAAGTGAGGGACTTCGGGGGAGGCAAAGTCTTACTTCTTTTTAAAAAGATGTATCTGGCCATCCAAATGTCCATCAGTAGATGTGCAGGCAAGCAAAATGTGACACATAAACCAGTAGTATATTGCTCCGTCTTAAAGGAGTAAGTCCAAGCTGCTGTATGGCTAAAACATAATGCTATGTGAAGCAAGCCATGCACATAAAAGGACAAATACTGTACAGTTCCAGTTATGTATTATTCACTTTTTAGTTGCTTGGATAAAGTACCTCACATACACAACTTAAGGAAAAAAATGGTTAGCTTGGCTCATGGTTTCCAGAGGGTTCTGTCCATGGCTGGCTGTTCCAAGATAGAAATGGCCCTGTGGGAGGGCATGGCAGATGAAAGATGCTCACCGGTAATACCTGGAGGCAGAGAGAGAAGGGAGCGCCAGAGCTCTGCTTAACCAATTGTTCCTTAGGGAAGCAACTAGACACTTTTGAGCATCAATTCCTCATCTTATACCTTTCTTCTGCCTTTTCCTGGGTTCTAGGGGAATCAAGTGAGCACACTAGATAAGGACATTGTAGTCTGAAGGATAAGGGATAAATGTACTATTGTCATGAAATGCCATGGAGTATCTAGAGATTCTGCAGATCTCATCATGAGCCAAGTTGGGACCCTTTTCCCTCCAAGCCTCACTGTGGGCTCTGCTTGTGAATGTCTCCAGGTAGGTGGAATTTGGGTCACTGCTGGCAGAATGTATAGGGAATCACAGGCGGAGACAAGCCACCAGCTGCAGCCCAGGGCTTGGATAGCTACTCTGTAGGTCTGTGTATTCCCGTATGTTCTGCACATCTGATGTGCTCTGGAAAGAAGCCAAATAATTAAAGCCAAGGAATCATTCTGGTTTCAGGGGAAAACACTGGCCAGAGTGGTGTGCACCACTCCACGAATGTCTCTATTGAATTTGTGAGATGCCCACTCCTTCCTCATCCCGTGAGGCTAAGGTTGGAGGCCACTCACCTATGTTGGCCAAGGAGTACTGGTAGCGCTCTGAGAGGAAGTGGGGCAGGGTGAGGACAAAGGCGCCTGCGGCCAGCAGGAGACCTCCGATGCCGATCAGCCTTGGTCGGTGTACCCGGCTGCCAAAGTAGCTAACAAAGATGATGAGGATGGCATTGCTGATCTGCAAAGAGAGTAGGGGGATGGAGTGAGACCCAGAGGAGACCTGACCAGACCTTGCTCAGGAGGACTGGAGTGCGAAGGTGCTGCTTGCTGGGGTTAGTAGGTCCCAACAGAGCTAACCTAGCCTGTCCAAGAGCCTCATATACCAGCAGTCTCAGCTTTCCTCTGTCATCAGAAACCCAGCCCCAACTTTCAGACCAGCCCAAGAGAAGTAAGTATCTATCTGGAGTCATGAAAGGCTCTTATGTTAGATACCAACCATTCTCCCCCAAGTCTTTTGAAGAAAAATCCAAGCAAGACTCCAATTCTGGCTGGCTCCTAGGAATAATGTTTCCTAATAAAGCCCCGAAGTCTAATTGGATCTTAATGCAAAGATCCAAGGGCTCTGAATTGGTAATCAGAATAACAATTGAGCAACACACATCGTCTCACGTCCCCCAGCAACAACACTCACTTTCCAGATGACAGAAAGTAGCATGTCCGCACTCATGAGGCCAGCAGGTTATACTAGGGTCTCCCGACTGGAAAGTGCCCAGGCTTCGTGGCAGTGGTCTGCTGCCTATTGGAGAAGTGGGCTTCTTCCCTAACAGCTCTGATTCTAACCTGGCCCTGTCCTTTCCTGGGCCAATTTTCACTTGTGTAAAATGAGGGACAAGGACCACAGTGCTCCTAAGTTCTGTCCTGGAAATATTGCTTATTTAAGTTTCTGGGGCTCCTTGGTAGGTGAGCTCTCCAGCCCAACCTCTCTAGTCCTTGCCTTTTTTCCTTTATTTTTTCTTCATAGCACTTACCATAATGTGTAAGGACAGAAGCATCCTTGTTCTTTGTAAGTAAATATTACCTTTCTCCTTAGACCTTTGTCTAGCCGTTCTTCTTGCCTCCTAGCACCTGGCACACAGGTCATAAACTAGGTGTTGAGTCAGTGAAGGCATGAACCAGCGCAGGTAGGCTTTCTAGGAAAGGACACTGATGCCCAGGAGCTCCTGCGGCATGGCTAAGCGTGAGGCTGTGGGACCCAGAGAAGCGTGCAAGGGGTGGGAGGAATCCGCCTGCAGTGCCAGTTGCCTCTGCTCCAGCCCTTGTCAGAACTGGCTCTCCCACATTTCAAACCCTGTGCCTGGAAGAGCTTTACTCTTGTGCTCAACTTTTACTTCTTTCCCTCTTGCTTCTCCCTCATTTTCCATGGATGTGGCAGGACACTCAGCTCTGCTGACTGGGGCTGACTTCAGAAAGTCTGTGGGAGAGGTGATGGAGGGCCTCGGAGGGGAGCTGACCGCACCTGCTCACCAGGCCCTCCCTCCTGCTCCTGAACTGCACACCCAGCCTGTGCCCAGCACCCACCCACAGGCCCCAGAAGACTTTCTGAGAGTAACCTGCTTTCTCAGATTGACAGGCCTGTGCTCTGCTCAAACCCATTGCTGGCTCCATGTCCCAAGGGCCTTATGGCCCCCTGCAGCCAGTTGCATTCTATGAACACTCTCAGGGCACACACACACACACACACACACACACACACACACAGAGCCACACGTGATCAAAAATAAATCCTTAAATGCTCATATATACACACAGATATGCACACAAATACACACGCAGGCAGGCACACAAATGGTCATACATAAACCCTCAAACACACAAAGATGTGGGGTAATACGCACATACAAATACAAACCTATAGTCCCACATAGATACTCAGACACACATATAGATACATACACACACATACATAACCATGGATAAGCACACCAGACATACATAGGCACACTCAGAAAAAAAGGTCATAAACACACAGCATGCAGAGACACACAAATTTACATACAGGCAGAAAAACAGACATTCAGACATACAGATATTTACATACAAACATCATAGTCACACATACACACAGACACAGTCACAAGAATCCACAGATAGGTACACACACATATGCATAGAGTCATGTACACAGACACATATATTCACACACAAAAATACATGCATAGACACATGGTTACACATAAGTACCCAGATATCCATAACTCTCTCTCTCTCTCTCTCTCTCTCTCTCTCTCTCACACACACACACACACACACACACACACACACAAACCTGTCAGGTCAAAGGACTGAACTTTTTGGCTGCATTTGCCTCAAATTGTGCCCACAGGCATGATCTTGAAAAGGTTAGATTCTTGAAAATTTTATCTGAGCTTGGGAAAGAGATTTAATGGTTATTTTCATTTTGATTGAACCATAGCCATGAGGAAGTATCATGCCCCTATTTGCCTAATCAACTTTCTATCGTAAACAGACCTGCAACATGTCCCAGATGGCTATGCCTTGCCTCTGGAAAACATTCACTTATTCCTGGACTCACGCTTTTGTTCCAAGTGTGGGACAATATGGATGAGAACTTAACGGTGGGAAGTCACGGCTTTGGCTGTCATCTGGGCTGAGCTGGAAGATAGGACACCTTCCACATCAGCTCTGATGTTCATTAGCAGAGGGCCCTGGAACACTGGGATGGGAAAGATTAGGAGGCTGTGTCTGGATTCAGTAGGAGAGAGGACCCCCATGAGGTACACTATGGTTAGTGATGCAGAGTAGGACTGTGGTGACACAAAAGTCAGAGATTTGTTTCCCTGTTGTCTGTCATGAATGAGGACATGTGCCAGGGGAGTATCAAAGTCAAAGGTCAACATTATGCATACATTGTGCATCCTGATGCAGACAGCAGCCTGCACTGCAGGCGCATGCCCAGTTCCTACTCTGCTCCTCTCTGTACTGTGGTTGGGGTTGTACACAAGTGGAGACAGTAGTGGCCCAGGACACCCTCTCACCTCGTTCAAGCTGGAAATGAGGCCTGAGGAAGAACTGGAGAGCCCAAAGCGCTTCTCAATGGTGGTGAGGCTGCTCTTGAAGTAGGCACTGTAGAGAAGCTGGCAGAGCTGCAGGAGCCCGTGGCAGAGCACAAATACCTGAGGAAACAGAACGTGTGGTGAGGCTTTTGCACAGTGGGCCCTGGCCCCACCAAGCCTTCCGTTCTGGGGCTTTGTTTCCTCATTTGTCACGTAAGAACATTTATTAGCTGCTTGGAGAGTGAAATGCTCCCATTACTACACCATTGTTCACCCTACTGGAAGTGGAAATGCTAGCCACTCCTATCTTTATTGTATCTTCTTAGAGTTATTGTAAATACTCCAGTACACCTACAGGGAAAGACATTCCCAGGGGAAAGGCCTGACATCAGCCCAGCATCTCTGGCACGATCCAGCTTGGACTGCTCTACCACAGTGCCCTGTGCGCTGATGGTCTGCTTTTCTGGCTATTTTCATTTTGATCAAACAATAGTCCTGAGGAAGTACCAGGCCATCCTGTGCCCATAGAGGGTTTTAGGCTACTCATCTAATTCAAATGACTCCCAGCAGCATGAACAAGTTCTAAGTCAGGTTGTTCCACTTCTCTTGAGCTCCAAGACCCAATTCTTACGGCTCCAATAAGGCTCTGTGATGCTGCCCCCTGACCACCTGGTTTGAAGGGATGGCTCTCATCCACACCCTTGCCAAGCTTGTTACCACCTCTTATCAGGGATGTCTGGCCTCTCCCCAGGAGTATCTGCGATTGTTCACCTCTGGAAGCATGGTCAGGGCCTTGGGGAAGAGACTCACTGTGTGCTGCCCTGCTCCATATGACTAGCTCTGTGAGTTCTGAGTCAATGTGAGTCCCACAATTGATAGCACACCCATGCATCAGGCAGAGGAAAGGTGGGATTTGATGGCATCTTTGGTGAGCATCGGGCTGCGCTCCTAGGTTCTGAGCTGTTGGACCAGGCCTGAAAAGGTCGTGAGCCAGGAGTCCCTGCATCCTCAATCAACCCCCAGAAGGTGCCCTTCTGGGTCACACTTTTCCTCCAGGGAAGGGCGGGGTGATGTTACATTTCATAATCTGCCAAAGTTCTTCCCTTAACTGAAAGCCTGAATCTCAGAGGAGCAGCTGAGGCTCTGATTTCATTTATATTTCCTCCTGAAACTAAGCCTACCTCTTTGCTCAGGCCCTTGCTCCAGGCTGTGCAGTTTCCTACCTGTGAGGGCATAGCCTTACACAGTAAGGCCAGCCTGGGACTTCCGACAGAGCCTGGAACTCTCTCCCTGCCCATGTGTCCATATTCGCAGCCTCCAAATGTGAAGAGGTAATTACAGCCAGACAACTAGATGCCTCTCCAGACTGCCATCTACCTCTGATCCTTGCAGCCACTCACCCGTCACCAGTGGCAGGAGGAAACCTGCCTCCCTGGGGGCAGAGGTAGCACCACTGTAATTCACTTCATACATTACATTTGTCTTAATATTTTATACTGAAGGTGTTGCTGAACATAGCCTTGACTCAGTTTTGCCTCATCATTAAGGGAAATTGAGATCCAGAGTTGGGGAACCTGAGTGCCCAGCATCATAAGAGGAGTTTTTGGAACTTGAGTATCAGTTATTCCAAATACTTAGAGTTGGTTCTCCTTTCCTGTGCTCTTGGTTTTCCACTGTGAGATTAACTGGTCTAAATCGGTGGGCCTTAACTCAGTTTTAAGTTGAAATTGCCTGAATGGAGGAGGCAGAGGTCCAATCCAAGATCAGCTGAATCAAAGCTTGTGAGAACAAATTCATCCAGAAGAGTTCCTGCTGCAGAGTCTGGTGAGCAAAATGGGTTACAATCACTGGCCTAGTGCACACATTCTGGCCCCAAATATCTATGGGCAAAGGGTAATCAATGGAGTATTAGAAGGGAAAAGCAAACCAAACGTGGAATTGTCCTAATTTATAGGAGCTGCCATGATAGGCAGAAGGGAGGACAAGATCCTTGGAAGAGGCTTTTGGGAAAGCCACATGTGATGGTGATGTGAAGCTGCTGGCTACAATGATGATGGTGAAGAAAATGAAGATGCAGCTGCTGGTGGTGCTGAAGACTATGGTGGTGACGGCGATAGCAGTGAAGGTGATGGTGAAGATGAAGGCGAAGGTGTTGGTGATGGTGATGCAGGCAGTGAAGGTGATGGTGGTGATGGTGATGTTGACGGTGACAGTGCAGGTGATGCTGGTGGTGGTGAAGTGGGTGGTGATGATGGTGAAGGTTTTGGGGTTGGAGACAGTGATGGTGATGATGAAGGGGATGAAGTTTGTCAATATCTGATTATTTTTCCTGCACACAGGCCACTAAAAGCACCCAAGCCCAGATGATTTTCTGAGTCTGACTAGACTTGAGAAAGAGGCAATTTAATCTTAAATGCCTTGATGATCTTCTAATTTCTCCAAGACTCCATAGTCCCCTTCTCTGGACATGCTCATGAGCAACCCATTTGCCTGTAAGGAAATAGTTCCCAAATCTCAGTTTCTCTTTCAGCGCATTCTGCAGAGCTCTGGACCATCCACCCCACTGTCTGCTGGTCTTCTCTGCCTGGACCTCCTCAGACCCCTCTGACTAACCACTTCTTCAGCAGGACTGTCTTCCCTCATAGATCCCTGCTCTTCTTACTTCATTCGCTATCCCCTTCACTCTGCTTCCAAGTTAGAAACCAGATGCCCTCCCCCCACCCCATCATTACTCTAGTACTTCCCGTAATGTCTTTCTGTTTCTTTTATAGTTAACCCCTGTTTTCATCTACAAGTACACACCTTGACTTGGGCTCTTACCATTTTTCCCCCTGGGTTGCTGCAACTATCTCTCGTAGGTCTCTTGCCTGACTGCTTCACATGTGCCACCAACCCACCCCAGACAGATGTCTCAGTGGAACAGGGCATGTTCAAATCAATGTCTCTTACCAGCTCCCAATTCCTATAAGACAAAATCCCACATCCTTGGCGTGATATCCTTGATGCTACAGATCTACACCCTGCCTGCCTGCCGCTTGACTCTGTACCTGGTGAGACAAATCACCTTTAGCAAAGATGGCCACACCAGCACCTCCCATCGACATTCCCTTCATGCAGCACAATGGCGCTACTCCCTCAAGAAGCAGGGTGTGTGTTCTCACCCTTTGCATATGGGTGAGAACAACCTTAACTACTCATTCTAAAGGGAAGACTGAGACAGAATGCCATGTAACTTCTGAGGCTTGGTCCTCATCATGGATAGAGAATCTGCCTGATTTGTTCTGTCTTAGAACTCAAACATCACATACAAGGAAGCCCAGTTGTCTCCACATATGGGAAGGCCACACGATGGTCTTCAGCTGACAAGTACTGATAAAGTTTCAGCCCTTAAGCAACATCTGTCAGGCACATTTCTGACTGTGCCTTCAGATGATTCCTATCCTAGCCTTTGATGCCAAGTAGAGCAAAAAGTGTTCCTGCTCACAATTTAGACACAATCAGTTTTCTTTCTGGTGTCTGTGTCCCTGTTCTGCTGTGCCGAAACCCCTTTTTCCAGAATGGGGCTCAACTCTGTGTCTAGTTCAGGGTTATTTCTAAAACTCTCAGCCCCTGCTGCTGACTTCTGCACAGAGGCATCTCAAAGGCCTGGTACATGCTGGGGGCACAAGGTACACCCAGCAGAGGAATGAGTGCTGTTGTTGGGAGGGCTGGCCTGAGGCCAGGCCAGGGCAGTGGTCATATGGGCAGCACACAGAGTAGGGGCTCCTTTAGAGCTGCACAGCCACTGATTCCAGGTGGAGAAAGAGAAAAGGCTGCATTTTCAGCCTGAGGGTCAAAAAAGGGTCAGTTCATGATGGCAACAGGGCCCAGGAGAATTGTCCCTTAAGCGGAAGGACAATGAGTTCATTTTTGGAGCACTTGAGTTTCTGATTAAACTCAGAAAAGGCCAAGATCTCTCCATCTAAATTAGTAATAAATGAACATGGATTCATTACCAACTTCATCACCTGCCTCACAAAAGGAAGGTAGGAATGATGGGAAAGAAAAATCTGTGTCAGATCTTTTTCAGAAAAATTTGTCTTTGCTACTAAGTGGAAGACTCCAGCAAGACTGACCTGGCACCTTTGCACATCCTTGGTCCCTTGTAAAGCCAACCTCACCACCAGCTCTTGGCCACTGCAGCCATATGGGGCCTAGGTATCTCATGGGTGTCCTGGAAGCAATGCTGGTATAGGTCTGTGCTTCCAGGTCTCACTTGTGGCTTTGGGGAGTAAAGGTCAGGGAGGAAAAGTGCAGTAAAACAGACAGTTCTAGGTGATGGTTTAACAGAGCTCTCTGGGCAGGGGCGCTCAGGGTCATATCTGGCCTTGCATATGGTTTTAAGTGAGTGCAACCACAGGACTATGATTCTGGCAGCTCAAATCTGTTAAATATCCATTGTATGGCCAGCAGGAGATGGAGCAAGGGACCTATGGCATGATGCAGAAGAGTAGAAATCCAACCCTGGAGGACGAGAGACTTAAGAGTGCAAGGAAGGCAGGGCATGACGCTGCACACCTGTAATCCCAGCACTAGCAAGACTGAGGGAGGCAGCTTGCCTTGACTTTGAAGCCAGCCTGGGTTTATAGTGAGATCTTCTTTCAAGAAACAAAAGGCAAAAATAAAAGAAGAAAAGAGTGCAAGGAGGTGGACTGGTTTGGTAAAAGCAAGGAAAATAGTGTTAGGTGGGCCACAATGCCCACACCCCAGCATTATGGCAACACAATGTTCTGGGTCGTGATGGTTTTTGGAGTCAAAGAAGCCTAGGTTCAGATTCTGGCTCGTAAAGAATGGTAGAACATTCAACCACTAACTTGACCATTCTGAACAGCAGCTTCTCCAACAATAAAAGGGAACTCCTAACATCTGGGTTGCAATGACTGTGTCAGAAAAATGTACTTATGGCACCTGGCACCCTGCCTGGCCCACATGGGAAGAGATTCAGTAAATTAAATGACAATTACTCCACAGGAACTTAAATTCCCTGTTAGTGTTCCATTCTCAGCAGTGTGAAAAATCTAGTTTCCTATAGTGTTTCATGGCATTGCTTGAGATGTTCTGAGTCAACAGGATTTCATGAA